GATGGGGATCCTGCAGGAAGCGCCGACCACGACCGACAGGCCCCAGTAATATCTCCCGCCCGGCTCATCCAGGCGCCATCTGAGAAGCGGGCCCGGGAGCTGTGCACATTCTGAACACCACATCCTGGCTCACCTGGGGCCCCTGGATGGTACCATTTCCAGTCTCTCCAACTGGGCCTGGAAACCTGCACCAGGAGAAAGCACGGGGAAGGGTGCTTTCCCTTTCTTCCCCGTGAAGAAAGCACGGGGAAGGGTGTCTTTGTGAAGATGCCGGGACTCACTTCCCCTTACTTCACTTCCCTGTCTCTGCCAGAGCCAGTAGAGCCGAGCGAGCTGAGACCTGTGGGGCTGGGAGAGGCTCGGAAGGCCTTGGCCTGTGGAGACAACCAAGGTGCCTCCTACACCCCTCTCTCAACAGCTGCAGCGGAGTATTTTCTCTTAAACTACCTTACCCTTTATAGACGTGGCTAGGCCTGTTACATATTCCAGAAACCCTGCCTTCCTCTGCCAAAATCCTCTTTCACTTGTTACTACTCTCCTCTCTTTGTCCCAAGATGTGCATGCATTTTTTTCCCTTTGGCATTTTCATGTTCCTTAAGTTGGGATACATCTTACGATTTGTGTCTACCTATTTATTTAAAATTTATTTATTTTCGTCTGCATTGGGTCTTCGTTGCTGCGCGCGGGCTTTCTCTGGTGGCCGTGAGCGGGGGCTACTCTTTGTTGCGGTGCGTGGGCTTCTCATTGCGGTGGCTTCTCTTGTTGCGGAACAAGGGCTCTAGGCACGTGGGCTTCAGTAGTTGTGGCACGTGGGCTCAGTAGTTGTGGCTCACGAGCTCTAGAGCTCACGCTCAGTAGTTGTGGCGCACGAGCTTAGTTTCTCTGCGGCATGTGGGATCTTCCCAGACCAGGGATTGAACCCGTGTCCCCTGCATTGGCGGGCAGATTCTTAACCACTGCACCACCAGGGAAGTCCCTCTACCTATTTATTTTATGTTGACATATGTGTCGTCCTCCCCCCCCCCCCACAAATGGCAGCTTGTTTTAAATCAGTGGCACTTTAGATCTAGGAATTAGGGTGTCTTTTTCACTGCTTGCCACCTTCATGCTCTAATCAAAGCCATCAGGGTCTCAGGCCTGCCGTCTCTGCTTCCATGTTTGTCCTCAGCAGCGAGAGGGCTCCTTCTCAAACCAGACCCCGTTGTGGCACTCCAGCAACTTCCCATCCCTGGACGCTCAAACCCAAAGTACTTGTCTTGGCCTCCACTCCAGCTTCCTCCACAGCTGCGTGCCCTCAAGTACGCTGTGCTCCAGTCTTTTGATGTTCCTGAGCCCTGCCGAGCTCTGTGCTGCCTCAGGCCTTTTGCACTTTCCTCGGGCAGCCTCACGCTGGCTCAAATCGCATTTCCTTAGAGAGGCCTTTCCTGACCACCTCCTGTGGCCCTCTGGGCTCCCTGCCCAGCTCTTTTCTTCCAGCAACTGGTACACCCTGACCTCATGTTACATAACAGATTCTTTGCCCATGTTCCCCTTGAGCGTGAGCAGGCCCAGTCGGGGCTTGGCTATTGTATCCCAGCACCTGGATCACCGCCCAGCATGCTGCTGTCACACCTAGGTCTTTCTGTTCATCATCGAGCCCAGCCCCCTAGCACAGGCCTGGCATATCAAGGGCTCGGTTTGCTCAGCAGATGAAGAACAGGAACTTCTCAGTCAGCAGAAAAGGCTCTTGGGGGGGTTCCAGATGACCTCCACATGTGGTTGAGTCCTTTGCAGGTCTCTGTGTAGCAAGCACGTCCTAGCTCTCCTTGGGCACCGGACACTGTTTCCAGGGCTCTGTGAGTTCCCGGGCCTGGGCCCGGCGTCTCCGAGGAGCACAGGGAACAGGATTGCCCTGCAGTAGGTGGCCGCAGCCATCCTTGGGTAGAGCCCTCTGGCTCATGTACTAGAAGGTCTGATGGGCTTGCTCAGAGCTCCTCTGGGCCATGTAGAGCCTTGGAAGACGGGCGGCGCCTGGGCCTGAGACTGGACTGGGAGGTGGGGTCTGGGTCTCCCACCCTGACTGGGTAATGCCTGCCACGCTGTATGCTCTTGGGGACCTGCATGGGGGTGAGCAAGTAAGCAACACCAGGCCTTGGGGACCAGGTCCCAAGTCACTGCTTTCAGAAAAACAGTGGAGTGGTGCCTAATGGGCTAGTCAGCTGGAAGATCCTCACAGATATTTTTGATACTAGATCACTGTGAGACTTTGGGCCAGTAACTGGGAAGGAGTTCCCAGAATTGGGATTTTTTTTTTTTTTCTTTAACAAAACTCTGTCCATCCTCATCTGCTTATTTATGTGAACTGGGTTTCTTAGTGTTTACTTTAAAAAAAAAGAAAATAAAGAAATGTCAGAATAAAAGCTGTAGCTCATTCTAGCAATAAGAAATATTCGCCTTGGCTACATGAACTAATTGCGAAAAAGGGCGCTTCCATCCCACTGAGAGAGGCAGTGCCAATAACTTACTGTTTATGGTTAATGTTTAGTAACAGTTGTTGATGATTTATGATTTATGTTTATGATGTATGTTTAGCAGATATCGTAATGATAACTCATCCTGAAGGATGTTCTCTTTACACGTAGAGCCTTAGGTCCTGAAAATGTTTTTAAGAAATTTAATTTCAATTTGAGGAATAGGTAGGATGCTCAGTAATAACCTTCAGTCACAAGCGTGTATTTGGATACAATTCCATGGGGGAGGGGAACAGGAACAGAATTCAACTTCAAGGCAAAAAAGGAGCAAATATTAAAGAGCTTGTTTATAGCTTTTTCCTTTTAAAGGAAATGATGGTAGGTATGATATTACTCAAGTATTTAGGCTCTGGTGAGATTTAACAGAGCCCCGTAAATGTTGGCATAAAATTTCCAATATCTGCAGTTGGCCAGAAGTGACATCTTTTGCAACTATTCAAGCTCAGGTAAAAAATATTAGGTGTCGGGCTTCCCTGGTGGCGCAGTGGTTGAGAGTCCGCCTGCCGATGCAGGGGACACGGGTTCGTGCCCCGGTCCGGGAGGATCCCACGTGCCGCGGAGCGGCTGGGCCCGTGAGCCATGGCCGCTGAGACTGTGTGTCCGGAGCCTGTGCTCCGCAACGGGAGAGGCCACAACAGTGAGAGGCCCGCGTACCGCAAAAAAAACAACAACAAAAAAACCCCACAAAATATTAGGTGTCAACTTAAGAATCTTTTTTGGGGGGGGGGACATGCAATTTGCAAAATTATTTTAGGGATACATGACCAAAAAGCATTCGAAGAGCGCTGAGTTTGCTCGCTTACAGATGTTTTCATGTGATCCCAGGGAGGAGGGGTGGTGTTTTTCAGTGAGCTGGATCTCTTTGGGAATGTTCAATGGGCATTTCAGACTCAACATTGTCCAAAACTGAGGCTGGATTCCCCACCACCAACCTGTGCTGCCCCCCAACCCCTGCTGGTGAATGGCAGTTCCAGTCTTCTCGTCACCAGGCCCCCGGCTGTTTGACTCAGCTCTTTCCCTCACACCTCATGTCCAGCAGTCAGCAAGTCCTGTACCTCTGCCTTCAGAATACATGTGGCATACAACCACTTCTCATCGGTACTGCTGCCATCACCCGGCCCGGGCCAGGGACTGGCAGGCTTTACCCGTGAAGGGCCACATGATGAATATCTTAGGCTTTGCAGGCCATACAATCTCTGTGACAGCTTCTCAACTCTGCCGCTGTCACAAAAGCAGCCCTAGACAATACGTCAACCAGTGAGCGTGACCGTGTTCCAATGCAACTTTGTTTGTGGGTGCTGAAATTTGAATTTTGTATGATTCCTATGTGCCATAAAATAGGCTTCCGATTTTTTCCAACTGTTTAAAAATGTAAAAACCATCTTAGCTTGTACAAAAACAGGTGGTGGCCCAGATTGGGCCTGTAGGCCACAGTTTGCTGACCCCTTGGTCTAAGCCATCCTTTATCTTGATAACATCTTTTTCTAAAATAAATAAATAAATTTATTTATTTATTTATGGCTGCGTTGGGTCTTCGTTGCTGTGTGCGGGCTTTTCTCTAGTTGCGGCGAGCGGGGGCTACTCTTCGTTGCAGTGCACGGGCTTCTCATTGTGGTGGCTTCTCTTGTTGCGGAGCACGGGCTCTAGGAGTGCAGGCTTCAGTAGTTGTGGCGCACGGGCTTAGTTGCTCCGTGGCATGTGGGATCGTCCCAGACCAGGGCTCGAACCCGTGTCTTCTGCATTGACAGGTGGATTCTCAACCACTGTGCCACCAGGGAAGCCCCTATCTTGATAACTTGTTATTGGTGTTCCTGCTTCCATCCTTATTCCCCTATAGTCCAGAGGGATCCTTTAAGAACCCAAGCCAGGTCACATCCCTCCTCTGCCCAGAACCCTCTGTGGCTCCCACCTCACTCAGAGTAGAAGCCACAGTCCTCACCTGGCCCAGGAGACCCTGTATGACCCATCGCCTCCCTGCCCTCACCTCCTTTCTTCCTACCCACCCTGCCCCCAGCCACAGGGGCCTCGGCTCTGTTGCTTGAGCACACCAAGCATGCTGCACCTCAGGGCCTTTGCACAGGCCATTCCTCTGCCTACATGCTCTCAGATCTCTCAACTGCCCTTTCCTTAATTAACTGCCTTCAGGGCTTGGCTCAACATCCCCTCAGGGAGGCCTTTCTTTTTTTTTTTTTTTTTTTTTTTGCGGTACGCGGGCCTCTCACTGCCGTGGCCTCTCCCGTTGCGGAGCACAGGCTCCAAACGTGCAGGCTCAGCGGCCATGGCTCACGGGCCCAGCCGCTCTGCGGCATGTGGGATCCTCCCGGACCGGGGCACGAACCCGCATCCCCTGCATCGGCAGGCGGACTCTCAACCACTGCGCCACCAGGGAAGCCCGAGGGAGGCCTTTCTTGACTACTTTACACGAAGCTGCCAGCTCCCTTCACCTGTCCCTCCCTGTCCCCTTTTCCTGATTTGTTTTCCCCATGGCACATATCGTGTGTGACTATTTTATTGTCTTTGTTCCCTGTGAAAATGTCAGTTCCATATGGGCAAGGCTTTTTTTCTCTCCTTCCAGGGCCGAACCCCCAGAGTCCTTCCCAGTGCCTGGCATGTAGCAGGTATTCAGTCACTGTTTATGCAGTGAATGAGTGAGCCTCAGTGTCCTCACCTGGAGAAGGGGATTCATAGGAAAGGAGATAATTTGTGTCGAGGACTTGCCTCCCTGCCTGCACATTGTGAGCGTGCAGGAGGTGGTAGCTGCTGCTGCGGGTAGAAGGCTGGCCACCTGGGTCCCATGCAAGCGGCACTCCCCCGGTGTAGACTGACCTGCCTGCTGCAACCTGGGCTGGGCGTGCTGGGCGCGTAGGTCGGCCTGGATGAGCGCCTTCTGCCGCTCCGGTCAGCCTGTGTCCGCAGAGGTCAGCCTCACCACCTCTTCCAGCTTTGACAGTGCCTTCCTGCCCAGAGATGGAGAGAGACCGGATGTGGTCACCAACCTTGACCCGGCCAGGGGTGCAGGGGTGCAGATCTGGGCCATCTTCCGGGGGTCTGGGGCTAGGGGCAGCCCTGGAGGAAGAGCGTTCAGTTCTAAGGAGCAAAAGCAGGCAGGGCCCTGCCCCTGGAGCTTGTAACTCATGTGTCCTCGGGGCTCCTGAGCCTTGGCTGCCTCGTCTGTAAAGTGGGGTGTCAATGCAAACCTAGCAGGCCAGCGTGAGCTGGGGGAGGCTGGCTGCTGGCACCCTGCTGGCTGGTGCTGGGGAAGGGAGCAGGGACGGGGTACAGAGCGACCAAGGGGGTTGGCTGAGGCTCCGCTGGAAGGGTCTGGGAGGGCACGTCAGTCAGTGTCCGTCAGCTGTGGTAAGGGTTTTGGGCATCATCGAAAGGGCAGGACCCTGTTTGAGGAAGGCAGTCCGGGTTGAGTTGGCCGCCTCCATCTGTCACCTGGGAGCTTTTGAAGCTGTGGATGCCTGGCCCTCCATCAGAGATCCCGATCTCCTTGTCTGAGTTGTCCAGGCCAGGGCTCTTCCGGTGGGTTTCATAAGCAGGCAGGGTTCAGGACCACTAGGCGGGGTTCTTAGCCACATTCGCCACGGGAATCATCTCTGTCAGGTCCTCTTACAAACATTCCCATTTACCAGATGGAGGAGACAGGGCTCAGGCAGGGGGGTTGGTCTGACTTCGGCCTCTGCAGCACCGCCTCTCGCTCAGTGTTGGGGGAGCCCCCCCACCCCTATGGCACTGGTTTTCCAGGCTCCTTGGTGGCTTTAGCCTGGGGCAGGAAACCATGCAGGAAGTGTCGAGAGAGCTGCTAATCTTGCCTGAGCCCCTCTGGGTGGTAGCGGGGTGACAGGCCTTTCGCCCTTGGTATGGCCTGACTCTGCTGGGGCCAAGGGAGGCTGGGGCCCGGGGGCAAGCAGGCTCAGCCTCCCAAGGGCGCTCCTTGTGGAGGTGACATGTTCTGCATTGTCCAGACCTCTGGAGACTAGGTGTGCCGGAGTCGTAATGTCAGCAGGGAAGCGGGGAGGAGGGGGCTGCCTTCCAGATAACTGGGTCCAGGGTTTGTTCCTCCTTGTTTTCTGTTAGCATTTGGCCCTGTTCTCCAGAGTGGAGGAGGTATTGCTTTGTGACGCTGAGCAGTGAGAGACTTTGGGCCCAGCTAGGCGGGGTCGGTGCTGGCTCTGGTACTTCCTTGGGCTACGTGCCTTGGGCAAGGGCCCCCTGGTTTCCGAGCCCTGGTTTTCTGAGCCACCTAACTGGGGTCACAGTCCTTAGCTTACAGGCGCAGGTGAGGCTAGGTGAGTTGTGCAGGTAAAGGTCTTAGCACAGTTCTTGGCCCAAAGTAAGCATCTGATAGACGATACTAGTGACGGCACTTCCAATGGAATAGGCCCTTGCAGCCCAGCTCTGTCCAGGACAGCGCCCCCTGGAGGCCCCAGAGGCCGGTAACTGCCCAGGGAGGTGTGTGGGCTGTGGGCACCAGCAAACAGCTGGTCAAAGAGCATGGCCCTCTCAGGCCCAAGACCCAGAGTCCTGCTGTGTTGGCCCAGCATCTCCTTCATCTTGGGCCTCCTGTGGTCACAGCAACCAGCCGGGGCACCTGAGCACCCAAAGAATGTCTTTCAAGGCTGGATGCTACTGGGCTGCCTGGGGCTCTGCCAGCTTCTCCTGGCCCCGGATCCCAGAGCCTAGGGACATTGGCATTCAGACCCTGCCACTTCTCCTCTGGCTACCAGGGGTGGGAGGCAGGAGCCGGCTGGTTGAGGACCTGGGAGTGGGTGGTCAGTCTCTCTCTTGCCCCTTCTCCCCTGGGCAACATTCCCCCACCCCCTAACCACTGTGGCACCTCAGGGAGGCTGTGCAATTCCCCCAGGAGAAATGGGGTCATGAGTGAGGCCACTGGGGAAGGAGGTATTTCTGGCCCAGCAGGTGTGGCCTGTGCTGGTGTCCTGGCAGGTCTTCTCAGCTGCCCTGGCAAGAGGAGTGTGACTTCGATATTTCTGGAAAGTGGAAGGGAGAGGGAGCTGAAAGTGCTGAGCCGCGGAGTGTAGGTGAACATGCTCAAGCCTCTGCATTTGTGAAGCAGCTGAGCCAGTCTGGCATGTGCTGCTCAAGGCCAGGCCTCCGTCCTCTCGTGCCCCGTGTGGGCGCTCTGGGGGCCGAGAGTGCCCGGGTCGGCCGGCTGACGGACCTGTTGGGCCCTCTGCATCTTTGCCTGGAGTTCTAGGTTGCACTGAGCAGGGCTTGTACCCTCAGCTAGGCCTCTTGTGCCCTCGCCTCGGGAGATGTCACCCACCGGAGCCCACACTCCCCTGCAGGCACTCACTGGGTTGTGCCAGGCTGCCCAGCACAAGGCATCCCGGTTGAAGAGCCCTTTTCTGGCAGGCAGACCCCGTGGGGTCCCAGCGAGCCTGCTCTAGGCAGGGTGCGCTGTACTGCACCCTCTCTGCGTGGGGGCCTCTGCGGGGCGTGCTGGCTGGGGGTGCAGCCCCAGAGGCCGGTGTGTGGTGGGGGTCTGGGCTCAGGAGTTGACTGCTGCGTGAGCTGCATGCACTCCTCACCCCTTGGAACTCAGCTTCCCCATCTGTGAAATGGAGTTAATGGCTCCAGCTCCCTCGGCTGCCGTGGGGATTGAAAGGAGAGGGTGAGGAGAGGCATTTGGGAAGCAGCTGCAGTTCTAACCCATACCCATTGGGCAGGTTCCATCTTAGGACGCACGGAAGCGGGAGGTGGTGAGGGTGACCAGGAGTCCAAGCTGACTCTCAGGCCTGTGCCCGCCCCTGTCCCAGGCCCGGGGGTGTAGACTCTGCCATGAGGCCACTGCGTCTCGTTTACAGGTGGGAGGGGCCTGAGGAACACTGGGCCTGGCTGTGTTTATGAAAATGGGGAAACTGAAGCTTGAGAGTGGCCCAGGCTCCTGGCTTGGGAGGCTTTCTGGGCACTGGTGCCTGGGCCCCGGGTGCCCCGCCTGTGCAGCAGCTCCCACAGGGGAGAGCAGCAGTTGCAGACTTCCAGCCTGGGCTCAGGCGGTGCCTACCCTTCCTGCCGCCCTCCTACTTGGTGCTTCTCCCTTCTGAGGCTCAGGTCAGAACCTCAGACCCACCCCTGCCCCCTATCCCCACATCCAAACCATCAGCACATCTTGTCACTTCCATCTTCATAGTCTGTCCACTTCTCACCCACTCCATGGCCATCTCCCTACTCCTGCCCTCATCATTGCTTCTGCCCTGGTCTCCCATTTCCCACGGGGCTGCCTAGGAACAGCTGAGTCAGGTCACATCCTTCCTCTGCTCAAGAACCCTCCATGGCTCCCACCTCACTCAGCGTAAAAGCCAGAGTCCTCCCTGTGGCCCACAATCCCCTGCAAGATCTGCCCCATCACTTCCCTGTTTGTGTCTTCCTGCTCTCCCCCTCCACACTCTGCTCCTGCCACAGTGGTCTGCTGCTTAAACATGCCAGGCACAGTCCAGTCTCAGGGCCTTTGCAGTGGCTGTTCCCTCTGCCTGGAACGCATTTCCCCTGGATGTATGCATGACTTGTTCCCTCAGTTCCACTGGCCTTTTTAGATGCCCCTTCCTCAGGGAGGTCTTCCTTGACCGCTCTGTCTAAAACGGCCATACTCCCCCACCCCACCCCTGCCACCTTTCTCTTTTTGTCTCCACAGCTCTTGGTGCAAAACATGCCACTATTTATTGTGTGTCCCTACCCACCCCCAGCCCACGCCTGGAATGCAGCTTCTGTGAAGGCAGGGGTTTGTTCACTGCAGTGCCCAGGGGAAGAGGGGAGGCAGGAAAGGATGAATGCATGAAGGAAGGAGCGTGAGGCAGTGGCTCCCCGAGGCCTCTTGGCTGGTGAGTGGCAGAGCCAGAGTTAGTGTTCACTCTCTTGCTCCCATCCTGCACCAGATGTGCCCGGTTCATTCACCTGGAGCTCCAGCTGCTGTGCACACCCTTGCAGCTGGTGGGAGCAGAGGCCGCGGCCACAAGGGGGCAGTGGAGAGCGGGGCAGTCTCGGCGGCTGCCGCCCCGGCTGTGGCGGTGATGAACTACAGTAGGGACGCTCGCCACAGCCCAGCCTCTGCCATCCGCACGTGTCTTGCTATTGTTAGGGTTCAGGCTCACTGTCATCAACTCCTTGCATCACCTCTCTGACCTTGGTGTGGTTGGGCCCCTTCATGATCGTGGTGAGGACTTGGGGAGGAGGAGGGGCCTGGCTCCCTGTGCGTCTGCCACTTCTATTTCGCTAGTATCGGTCTGATAACATTTATTCTTTATAAGAATTATCCTAGACTGGACATGTTTGTGTACTTTCTCAGGGAGGCCTTCCCTGACCACTCTGTCTAAAATGGCCATCCTCCCAACTCCTGACCCCCCCGCCCCCCGTTCTCTGTTTTTCCCCACAATTCTTGGTGCAGAACGTGCCGCTGTTCTCTGTTACGGCACCCCCGGGCACTAGCACCCCCCACCCCGGACCTCACACAGACCAGAATGGTGGTGGTTATTATGTGTAAATCTTACAGTGACCCTGTGAGATAGAAGGTGGGGGCAGCCCACTTTGTAGATAAGGAAATGGAGGCTCAGAGAGGTTGGGTTACTCGTCCAGGGCCACAGAGCCAGGAAATAGGTGAGTCTTTTTGACCTCAGAGCCTCCTTGTGAGGGGCCGCTGTGCCTGTGTTGCTGCCGCCTCCAAGGGCCCAGGGTGTGTGGAGCCTGTCAGTGTGGAGCCCCTTCTGTGTTGGGGATGCTGGTGAAGAGAGACAGGGTTCCCTAGAAGCCAGAGCTGGCCTACCAGAGACCCTTTCCGTTGGTGAGCAGTGCCCCGCTCCTTGGAGGAGGGTCTGGCAGCCAGAATGCTGGGCTGCACAGGGTCACCGGAGCTGGGTGGGTGTGTCTGCAGGCCTCACAGAGGCTTCCCTGGAGCGAGGCCGCCGGCCCAGGCTAGGGAAAGCCCTCCTGCAGCAGCTCCTGCACTGGGGCGCCCACCTCTGCTCTGGGGTCTGGTGTGGTGGGCAGGCCCCCATCCCCCCAAGTGTGGTGAAGGAGGAGTGAGGGAAAGGCCTTGGCTCAGAGGGTGGTGGGGTGGGGGCTTTGAGGCAAGGTGCCTCCCGCAGGTGCTTATGGAGAAGAGCTCCTCGCCAGGCTCTGTCCTGGGTGCTGGGAAGTGACTGAGGACGGGACAGTCCCTGCCCTCTGGAGCTGACCATCCAGTGGGAGGCAGACGGTAAATGTCTGGGTTGCTATTTTAAGTTGACAGTCAGGAAGGGCCTCACTGACGAGGTTAGGGAGGAGCCCTGCGGGGTCTGGGGGAGAGCGATTCAGGCAGTGAGAACAGCATGTGCAAAGGCCCTTAGCCTCTCCTACTCTTTTTTTTTTTGCGGTACGCGGGCCTCTCACTGTTGTGGCCTCTCCCGTTGCGGAGCACAGCCTCCGGACACGCGGGCTCAGCAGCCATGGCTCACGGGCCCAGCCGCTCCGTGGCACGTGGGATCTTCCCGGACCGGGGCACGAACCCGTGTCCCCTGCATCGGCAGGCGGACCCTCAACCACTACGCCACCAGGGAAGACCTCTCCTACTCTTGAGCCCTGGTTTTCTCATCTGCCACGTGGGGACCATCCCAGGAGCCTTGTCTCCCTGAGGCTCTGGGCACCCATGCTAGCTTGAAACAGGTGCTCAGAAAGTGGGCACCCCCCTTTCTACTATGGCTACCTTGATCAGCACCATATTTATTCCCATGAAGGCAGTGAAGCGTGTGGGCCCTGCTGCCCGGCAGTGGCTCTGGGTACTCCCCTCTGGGTGGGGCAGGGCTGCAGCCTGCGGGGTGGGCTGTGCCCTGCCCCTTGTCCAGCCCTGACCTCATGGTGCCATGAGTTGCCCTTGGCTGGGCCCTGGAATCTGGGGCCTCTGGGTGAGAATTCCTCCCGGGCTGGGGAACTGTCATCGTAGAGCCAGCGTCCTGTGCCCCAGGCCAGGGCTCCTGCCTGTCCTTGCCCTCTGTCTGGCCACTGTGCCGGAGGCTTTGGGGCCACACCCCCTGCCTGTGGCCAGTGCCCGGACTTCAAGTCAGTGACACCCTCACGGGCTTTGCTTCATTCATCCTTCGAACATATCACCGCCCCCTTGTCCCCCCAGCCCCTTCCCTCCACGGGGACAGGAACAGCTGTCCCCGGCTCCTTCAGAAAGTCCCACCACTCACTCCTCCCCTGCCCCTTGCCTGCCTTCTCTCTGGGGTAGGGCCTGAGCCTGCTACCTCCCCTTCTGTGCTCAGGACCCCTGCCTGGGGCTCTGCCCAGCAGCCTCCTGTGCCCCTCACCCCAGTCCTGGGCCTATCCTGGGCCCCCACCCCAGGCTGGCCTCAGGCCCGGGCAGGCTCAGGGGTGTGTGAGTGTGTGTGACAAGCGTAGGGACGGGAGTGTGCTGGGGCGCAGAGCAGGGGGTGGGGAGTAGGGGGTAAGCTCAGGGACTGAAGATTGGGAAGTGCATGATGGGCTCCCCCATATTTAGGCCCTCATCGGGTGGGGTGGAGGTGTGGCTAGCCTCTGCTGCTCCCTGCCCCTCGACCTTTTCTCTCTATGGGTAATCGGGACCGGTTTGCTAGCCCCACCCTTTAAAAAAAAAGATTTATTGAGGTAAAATTCACGTGACGTACAATTAGCCATTTAAAAGGGAATTTAATTCACAGTGTTGTGCAACCCCCGTCTCTGTCTAGTTCCACAACTTTTTCATCACCCCAGAAGGAGTCCCGGTCCCCATTAGTTGCCACTCCCATCTCCCCTCACCCCATCCTTGGCAGCCACCAGTCTGCTTTCTGTCTCCTTCCATTTACCTATTTGGGGCATTTCACATAAACATGTGACCCCTTTGTACCTGGCTTCTCTCACCTAAATATATATATATATATCTCCGTAGATCTACACTCATTTATTAATCGATGTATGTATAATTTTTATTTTTTATTTTTTTTTCTTGCTATTGGCTTTTAAAATTTAAAAATTTTCTTTTCTGAAATAATTAGAGAGGCACAGGCAGTTGTACGATGGTAGAGAGGCCCTGTGGCTCCCCCCGGCACCGCATCCCCACCCCCTTGCCCTGCCCAGGGCCTTTCAGACCTCTCCTGTGGTGGAGATTTGGGGACAGGAAATGGGAAATGAGGACCAAACCTGTCACAGCGGCCTTGAGCTGGGGCAGCCCACTCCCCAGTGGCCCCGGGGCCTTGAGTGCTGCCGCACGGGCCGGGCTTACCTCTGTGAGGGCGCCGCTGCTCCTCTGCAGCCTCGGGCTGGCCTGGGTGTGTTGGTGGCGGTGGCAGCCGTAGCAGCTGCAGCAGCGGCTGCTGGGAGGGTGGCCCCTGTCCCGGCCGTCCCCTCCTGCTGCCCAGCTTCCTTTCCCAGCAGCCAGTCGGGGCCCCGACGTCCCATACTCTCCTCCTGGGTTCTGGTCTGGTGCCCAGGTTGGGGGGAGAGGGTAGGGTTTCAGCCCTCCCCCAGCAGCTGGCCGGCAGGGAGAGGGGCTGGTTGTATTTTAAGCTGTGAGTGGTTCAGCAGGAACTCGGAGGCCTGCTTTCCCAATAGACGTGGTGCAGCCTTCCTGCGGACCACACGAGCTCCGAAGGCATGTGGGCACTGCCCGCCTGGGACCCAGGAACTATTAATATACCTGCCGCCACAGGGCAGCAGGCCCTTTGCCTGCTCGGGGCGGTGCTATCCTCGCCTTTTTGGGCACATTCTGCCTGTACCCCTTCCCTCTTCCGAGTCCCCTTGGTGGGGCCAGACACTCGGGGTAGTGTGAGCAGCGCCCTCTTTCTGGCCCTTCTGTCTGGCCTTGTTATCCCCATGACTCAGAGGGGTTCAGTAACCTGCCCCCCAAGGCCACGTGGCCATGCAGAGCCCCCAGTTGACAGCAGGCGCACTCTCTAGCGTGGTAACAGTAGCATCGGCCAGGAATTCTTGGGCTCTGGGCTCTCTCCTGCCCTCCGTCCATGACGTGGGGTGGGTAGAGCATAGGTGGGCAAACAGGCCAGTGTGCTGCAGCGACCCCCTGGCCAGTAGGGGAGCTGGGATCTGAACCCAGGCCCATCCCCTTCCCTTCATCGCAGGCGCCCAGGGTCCCGCCCAGGGTCCCGTCAAGCCTGTCCTCACAGCCTGAGGTTTGGGGAGCACTTCCCATCTGTCAGGTACCACGCCAGCCCCTCGAGGTACACACTTTCCTACCTGCCTCCGGCCTGAGGCTCAGAGAGAAGTGACAGCGCCAGAGTCACCCAGTGACAGCGTGGCAGGGCCGGATTCAGTCCTGTGTGCTGCCCACCACGCCCCCTGCCTCTCCCACTGGTGGTGGAGTGTGTGTGAGGGGAGCCCTTTCCTCCTGGGGGGGGCGTGGCCCTAGGTGGGTGGGCGTGCCCTCAGAGAGCCCTGTCTGGGGCCCTGCCCTGGGGCTCTAAGATCTGCTCCTTTTCTCCATGCTGTCTCTGACTGAGGGCCTGCCAGGCGGGAAGGGTCCTCAGCACCTGCTGCCCAGTGGCCGACTTGGGGTCAGACCCAGCCCTGCCTGCCACGTCCCCATGTCTAATAAGATCTGCGTCAAGCCCTACACTGGGGCCCTCAGGCCTGCGTGGTGGGCTCGGGCCCTACTGGGCCTCACTCCAGCTCCACCAGCAGTTCACACCATTCTCAGCTGGCCCAGGTGGCTTCTCGGACCCGCTTAGGATGGGTGGGTCACGTCCCCCTGGGGGCTTCCTCCCTCCCAGCACTGCCCCTTTGCACCACTGGTCCCACCACTGCCTGGGGCTCAGGGAGAGTGGAGTGGGGTGGGGGTGCCCAGGCTGTCTGCCCTGGGCTTTGGGGGGCTCAGGGCCTGGACGAGGGTGCTATGTTGGGCTGACATGGTGGGAAGACTGCCCTGGAGGTGGCCTTGAACAAGGCCTGGGTGGACCTAGTGAGAACTGGGTGGAGAGGGAGGCCGGGGAGGTGTGAGCCAAGGTCTTGGCCTAGGCTGGGGGCGCTTGCTGGAAACTTCCTGGTTTCCTGACCCGTTCCACACTTAGAGAGAGGCTCTCTGCACCAATAACGCCGGAATCTGTCACCTCCCTGGGAACACAGATGCACAAGGCAATAATCCGGAGTGTGTCTTACAGCTCAGAAGGGGAAATGGATGATCTATCTCGCGGATTCTCAAAATAGCTGGGATTTCTCCAAGCCCAGTGAACTCTGTGCGCCTGAGCTGGGGCCTGGGCGGCCCGTTGGCCTCTCACCCTGCTCCTGGTGACAGGCCCTTGCTCTGCACTGGGCAGGGAGGCCAGGAGGCACCTCCATGCCTCTTCTGGGGATCTCCCTTCCCCCCCGTGCTGTTGGGGGTCCGTGTCCCCTCGAAAGCCTTACAGTCAGGGCAACTCAGCCCTTGGAGGGCTGCCCCCAGGTGCCCCCTCCCAGGAGGTCTGTGGCATGGCTCCTGGGGGGCTCAGTGTGGGGCAGTTATATATTTAGTTGGGCCGTGGCTGTTGGGCCACTCGGGTTACATCTGCACAGAAGCTGGCGGAGCCAAGGCAGGCCCGGGCTGCCTTCCAGCACCGCGGCAGAATTTGATCTCGCCGGCCCGGCCCAGAGCACTTCGCGTGGGGAGGTCTGTGGTGGGGGCTGACGGCCGGCAGCTGGGGCCTCTGGCCGCAGCGGGCAGAGCGGGGCAGGCATGGACCTGAGCGTGAGCGTGGTGGCCCGGGAGACCAGCCAGGGCCTTGGCCCCGTCTTTGGCCTCAATGGCCTCCCCCGGCCCATGCCCCCCAAGACGATCAAGAAACCTAAAAAGGCCGTTCTCTTCTTTGAGGTGGAGATTCTGGACGCAAAGACCCGGGAGAAGCTGTGCTTCCTGGACAAGGTAGGACCGCAGTGCAGACTGCGCTGGCCCGAGGGTGCTGGGCCTGTGACCAGGGAGATGGGAGTGCCCCTCCATCTGGGTCCTGACACCCAGCCCCTGCCCTTCAGGGTGTGCAGGAGGCGTACTGTCCCTGGGCCTGCCCCAGCCGGCTTGCCGCTCAGGGTAGAGCACCCTGGCCCCTGGGTGTGGCCGGGAGCTGGCCTCCCAGTGTGAGAGGAGGTGAAGCAGCCTCAGTGGACCCTGCATGGCTCTGGGGCCTGGGAAGGAGGTGGAGTCCTGAGACCGGCCCCACTCCGAGGCCAGGCCAGGGGAAGGGGTTCGTCCCATCCCAGGGAGGTCTGGAACAGGTTGAGGGCCTTTTCTCTGGGGGGAGTTGCGGCTGGGGGTGGAGAGGAGAGGCGAGGTGGGCCTGGCTTCCCATGCTCACACCATCTCCCAGCCAGTCCAGGGGTGATCTGGCTGCCTGGTTAAAATGGCCCTCAGGCCCATGGCTGCCTTGTCGGCTCCCCGCTCCCATAGCAGTTGCCTGGGACCCCAGTCCATCCCACTTCACCAAGAGGGATTCTGGGTCCCAGGCTCCCCGCCCACGGCTTACTGGTGCCTGGCCTGTGTTTCCCCCAGGTGGAGCCCCAAGCCACCATTGCTGAGATCAAGAACCTTTTCACCAAGAGCCGTAAGTCCAGGGCCCAGCCACACTGCCCCCGCGACCCCTCTGGGCAGGGGCCTCTAGGTAGGACCCTGTCCTACATGCCTCTCCCGCAAGGGCCTGCAGAGATAACCCCAGTGTGGCCCAGGCTTCTCTGGGCTTGCCTGGGGCACCCGCCCCCGTGTGGCCATCAACAGGAACGCCCTTGCTGGGCTTTGGGAAGGACAACATCCCGCTTTGCCTGCTCTTCCGGTCTGTGTCCTGGAGCCACACAAACTTCAGAGATCTTGCCCGGGGGCCGGAGGAGCTGTAGGGACCCTGGGCCCCATCAGGCTGTGTGCTGTGACACCCTACTCTCCCTACAGATCCACAGTGGTACCCCGCCCGCCAGTCCCTCCGCCTGGACCCCAGTGAGTACAGCTGTCTGCTTGGCTGTCCCCGGGCTCCTGGGTGGCCCTGGGCGAAGGCCCAAGCAGGCCCTGAGCCCTGGCCCGACTCTCCGCAGAGGGCAAGTCCCTGAAGGATGAGGATGTTCTGCAGAAGCTGCCCGTGGGCACCACGGCCACCCTCTACTTCCGGGACCTGGGGGCCCAGATCAGCTGGGTAACGGTGCGTGCAGACCCCTCTCCCAGCAGCCTCGTCTCCCATCTGCCGCGTTGGGGTGACTCACCTCTCCCCTCCCCAGGTCTTCCTGACAGAGTACGCCGGGCCCCTTTTCATCTATCTGCTCTTCTACTTTCGGGTGCCCTTCATCTATGGCCACAAATATGACTTCACGTCCAGTCGGCACACGGTGGTACAGTGAGTGGGGCCGGGTGGGAGGAGGTGGCAGGGGGAGGGGAAGGCCTGCGGACCTGCCCCCGCTGAACTGGCTCCCCCGCCCCCAGCCTTGCCTGCATCTGCCACTCATTCCATTACATCAAGCGCCTGCTGGAGACGCTCTTCGTGCATCGCTTCTCCCACGGCACCATGCCGTTGCGCAACATCTTCAAGGTGAGCCCCCAGCTGCCTGTCCAGGTCCTTCACCCCCGGCCCTACCCTCCCTGGTCCCCCTCACCTGGGTCCTGCCCTCCATTGGGCCAGGCTCCATCCCGGCCCTGCTCCCTTTCAGAACTGCACCTACTACTGGGGCTTCGCCGCGTGGATGGCCTATTACATCAACCACCCTCTCTACACACCGCCAAGTAAGTGGCCTCGGACCCTGCTCCCCCTTTGAACACCACTTCACCCAGGCTCTCCCCTCACGGGCTTCCCTTCTCTGCTTCCTCTTCAGCCTACGGAGCTCAGCAGGTTAAACTGGCGCTCGCCATCTTTGTGGTAAGCGGGCTGGGACGGATGACAGGGTGCGGGGAGTTTGGGGGGTGGCTCCGAGCTGACCCTGCTTCTCTAACAGATCTGCCAGCTCGGCAACTTCTCCATCCACATGGCCCTGCGGGACCTGCGGCCAGCTGGTGAGTGGCCTGCTCCGGGCAGGGGGGATGGCCACCTGGGCAGGCTGAGCCAGCGGGTCTCACTCCTGTCTTGTCCTCCCAGGGTCTAAGACCAGGAAGATCCCATACCCCACCAAGAACCCCTTCACATGGCTCTTCCTGCTGGTGTCTTGTCCCAATTACACCTACGAGGTGAGGGTCTGCCCTCCTCTCCTCTCCCTCCTGGGGCTTGGGGTCCCATGTGGAGGGCTAGCTTCTAGGAGGGGGCGGTGCCTGGCTCCGTAGCTGTTTCTGCAGTTTGAACTTGGAACATTTGGAAATGGAGAGACTGTGGCCTCTGGGGGCCTGGGAGGTGTCCAGCTGGGCTTGTGGCTGTTGGGGACTGAGGGGCAGCTTCATCGTGTAGTGCCCCCTTACTCCAGGCCCCTCTAGCTCTGGCATGTGGTTCCCATCCCCTTACTAGAACAGCTGGGGCTGCCCAGCCCTGCCCGCCTTCACCCTGCCTGCTCTGCCCACAGGTGGGGTCCTGGATTGGCTTTGCCATCATGACACAGTGCCTCCCAGGTGAGCCCGCTGCCCATTCCCCAGGGGGCCCCGCCCGTCCCTGCTGTGTGCAGCCCTCCCTCCCTGACTCCCCTGCTCCACCCCACAGTGGCCCTCTTCTCCCTGGTGGGCTTCACCCAGATGACCATCTGGGCCAAGGGCAAGCACCGCAGCTACCTGAAGGAGTTCCGAGACTACCCGCCCCTGCGCATGCCCATCATCCCCTTCCTGCTCTGAATGGCATCCCCTCACCCAGGCTCAGCCAGCCAGGCTCGTGTCCCCCCGCCCCAGTGTCATTCTGGGCGAGGAGTGGGAACCACTGCTCTCCAGCGTCTGGAATAAAACCTGCCTGCCCAGCTGGACTCAGACTCAGCGGTGTTTCTTTTGGGGGTCGGTTCGGGGATCAGCACGCCAAAGAAAGAGGCGGAGCTTGGGCTGAGGGCCCTGGAGGCTTTTATTTTTTTGACTGGTCTACAGGGTGGTAGGCGGGGCCGCTACAGGGCCACCTCGGGGCCCACGTCACCGGACCCCTGGCCTCTGGCCTCCCTCTGCTCCCGCCTCTTCTTCCGCTGGAGCAGCCGCCGCTCCCGCTCAAACTCCTTCATGCGCTTCACGTAGCTGCAGGCAGAGTACAAGGAGGGAGGGGTAGCCTGGGGAGCTGATGGGACTCTGAGGGGGTCGCAAGTAGGGAAGACCTGCGTGCCTGTGATGTAACTCTGGGGTCTGCCCCCTCCCCTGGGGTGGACACCAGTGAGCCCAGAGCAAGAGCTGGGCCTCCCACCTGAACTAGGCGTGGCCACTCCTGTAGGCACCTCAAAGCAGCCCGCCCCACCCCACAGCCCCTTTGGGATTCCCCTTTCTACTGAGGTGGGGCCTGGCCGGGTGAGGGCTCGGGGCGGGCGTGGGGCTCACTCGAGGTGCTCGCAGTAGTCCCAGTCGTGCTGCTCGTGCTTGCAGGCCAGGAGGTTGGGGAAGCTGTCACGCTTGCACTTGAGGAACCGGATGAGGTAGTGGGCGCAGTAGTCCCGCTGCTGGAGCACCAGCTGTGCGTCATTCATCTCCTGCTGAGTGGCCACCATCTCTGCGGGGGGGACGGGTGGGGCTCAGCCAGGGCCAGGAATAGCTTTCTAATTTGCATGAAAGCAACCCCCAACACTGAGGCCCAGATGGGCAGGGTCCCTCTCCCGCCATTACCGAGCACCTCGAAATCCACGCTAGATTCTTGCCTCCCCTCCCCCTGGGGTCACTCCCCAGACAGCCCCACCCTGCAGAGGTGTGTGTGCGTCTGTGTGTCTGCCTGGGGGACCTGGATCCCAGCTCTGTCCTCTCAGTGGAGGCACAGCTTCTGCCCGCCTCATAGAAAGCTGAACTAATAATCCTCGTCCTGCTGCCCCACCCACCTGGTAAACCCCACGGGGATGAAATCAACCTTCACTTCAACTGGGGCCCATCTGGAGGCCGTCAGTAATCGTGGGCACACACCCCAGCCCGTGCCCGCTGTGCTGGTGATCCTGAGCTCTGTCCCCACCTAGCACGGGGCACACAGGACCTAGCCTTCCTGCATCCTCAAGGGAACCCCTGCCCCCCCATCTTACCCCATCTTTCTTGGTCCTAGATGCTCCTCCTTTCTCGAACATTCTCTTCCGGTGGCCCCCCTCTCTGCCACACCCTCCCCAGGTTTCCTCCCATCTCTATGGCTGTCCAAACATTAAGCTGCCCAAATATTAAGCCTTGGCTTCTGGTGGTTCTTGCTAAGAGCCGTCCACTCATTCTAATTCATGGCTTCCGTCTCCACCCCGTATATCGTTGAGTCCCAGGCCTTGTGTCCACCTGCAGCCCCTGATAGTTTCCATGTCAAGGTGGCACTTCACACCTGATGCTCCAGCATGATGAGTCAGTAGCCAGGATTTATGGAGTACCTACTGTGTGCTGGGTGCTGGGGATATACAAGGGAACATGCCAGGCAAGGATCCCTCCCTGCTCTTGGAGGGAGACACAGAACAAACAGGTAGAGCTAGATGTTGTAGGATGCCTGACAATGCTAAGTATTAGGGAGGAAAATAAAGGAGAGGGAGAGGCAGTGTGGGGAGGTGGGTCACAACTTTAGATGGAGGGGTCCGTCAAAAGGTGGCATACGAAGGTGAGGGAGTGGGTCACATAGACACCCGGGTAAGGCATCCCCAAGAGCGGAACAGCAGGTGCAAAGGCCCTGAAATGGGAGGACAGGCGGGATGCCTCAGGGGTTTCGGCCTGAGCATGTGGTGGTCAGCGCTGGAGGGAGGCACAGGGTTGGTAGGGGAGGTCAGGAGCTCTGTTTCAGGCCTGCTGAGTGCAAGATGCCCGTTAAATGTGGAGTGGAGATGCCAAGCAGGCAGTGAGGTCCATGAGTCTGGGGTTCAGGGTCAAGGCCCAGCTGGAGATAAAAACTCCAGCCCTGGTGCACAGCAGCCATTTGAAACCAGAGGACTAGCAAAGACCCCCAGGGAGTGGTGGGAGTGGGTGGAGACAGGAGAGACCCACGCAGTGGGGCGCCTTGGCATTTACAAGGCAGGGAGGTGGGCGGGAGCTGTGGGGTCTTGGAACCACGTGAAGAGGGGCTCCCAGGAGGTGGCAGCGACCAGCCGTGCCTGCTGCTGCCATAGTGGAGTTAGACCTGAGAATCTGGGCCACAACTACTGAGCCTGCACGTCTGGAGCCTGTGCTCCACAACAAGAGAGGCCACGATAGTGAGAGGCCCGCGATGAAGAGTGGCCCCCGCTTGCCAAAACTAGAGAAAGCCCTCGCACAGAAACGAAGACCCGACACAGCAAAAAAAAAAAATTTTTTTTAAATTTATTTTATTTATTTATTTATTGGCTGTGTCAGGTCTTCGTTGCTGCACGCGGGCTTCGTCGCGGTGTGCGGGCTTCTCTTGTTGTGGAGCACAGGCTCTAGGCGCGCGGGCTAAGTAGCTATGGAAGCCCCAGGAGAGGATATTACAACAGCAGAAATAACAGTGTATTTGCATGTTGATGGGAAAACCAACCTTGCAAGAGAGGGAGAGTGGTTGGAGCAGTCCTTGGGTAGGTGAGAGGATGGGATGGAGGGCATCAGAGGGCTCACCTGGAGCAGAGGCTTAGCTAAAGCCGGGGCAGATCATCTGGGCTAACAGGAGAGAAGGTGGAGTCCAGGGTGTGTAGGAAGCAGGGATGAAGGGAGCCCACAAGAGCTCTTTTGGCTGCTTCTATTTTCTTAAGAGGATACAAAGTGACTAGCTGAAAGGAGGTGCTGGGGTCTGAGAGAGAAGGCGTGAGACCATGGTCTAGGAAGAAGCCCGAGAGAGCGAAGGGCCAGGGAATGTGACAGGAAAACAGCAGCATGAAGAGTCAACTGGGGGAGCAATTGGGAGACCAGTCAGGGAGGATGGGTGTTTTTCTCCCACGATGTTCAGCTGCACAGGGACAGGAGCCACGGAGGAGAGCTGGCTTTAACCAGGGTTCTGGTTAAGCAAGACAGAGGAGGGGATGGGGTGGGGCGGCTCTGGGTGTTTGCAAAACATTAATGGGAAAGCAGGGTGTGAGGGTCAGTGGGCAGGACTGACATGATAAGGAGGTGGGGGTACTGATGGACTGCAGGTTCCAGTAGGGCTAAAGGAACTACAAGGACTCGAGACACCATAGGACCGTACCTCCCAACATTCTCCTAAATCCACACCTCTCTGCACCACCCCATTCCCTTAGGGGTCTCCCTGTCTCCAAGTCGTCGCCCACCTGGCAGCCAACGTGACCTTTTGATAAAGCAAATCTGATCGTGTCCCTCCTCTGCTTTGAAGCACTAGCTCTCCCCTCTCCTTGGTCTCAGTGTGGCCAACTCCTCCGCATCTCCCGCAGGTCTCGCTTCCAGTCATAGTCTCCTGAAAGCCCGCCTTGATACTCCTAGGGGCCATCATCAAGATCCGCCAGGTTCCTTTGTCTTCCCTACAGGGCTGTGAGTTCCCCCTTAGTCAGTGCCTGCTGCATCCTCGGTGCCCAACTCGGGACTTGGTCCAGGACTGGCGCTCGATATGCTTGTGATATTAACGAATAAAAAAAGCAACGTGCAGAACAGTATGTGCGGCGTGAGCCCCCCTCGTGTTTTCTCTAGCATACCTAAAAATAGCGACATCTGGACAGAGGTGCAATAAGCACATCCCTTCCGCGATAAACCCTCCCATAGTTCCCCACTCACTCCAGGACTACCTCCTCATTAGGTCCTGTGTCGCCACTCTCTTTTGCCCCCGGGCTTTTTGTTCAAACAGTGCCTTCTGCCTGGAATGCCTCCACACTCAGGCAGGGTCACGCGCGCCCCCTGGACTCCTCCGGGCCGAGGTCAGGGCTGAACCCAGACACAGTGCATGACGCTCGAGCCCAGCCGACCCCGGGGTTCAGGGGTTCCGGCGCCCACCCCAAACTCCCGCCGGCCGCGCCTGCGCACTGGGACTCACCGCGTTCTTTGCGCGCGGGGAAGCCGTAGTCTGGCGGGAAGGTGGGCATCCGCAGGGGGTCGGGCTCCACCGATGCATCGCCCAGGTAACGCCGACCTAGGTGCGCCCCCATGGTTGCTGTCGCCGCAGGTTCCTGCAGCAGACAGGGTCACCCAGCTCCTACCCGGAAGCACTCCTTGGCCAGCGACGGCTTCCGGGTTGCTCAGGCCGCAGCGGGGATCATAGAGATGAACGACTCCGGAGGACTTCAGGTATCTCTGGCGCCACCTTGCGGTTGGGCTGAGATAGTAAGGTGCGCGCCTCCTACTCTGGTGATCGCCAGAGGGGGCCTCCCTGCTTCTGGAAATCCATCTGGGCAGGAGAGGGTGGACGATGTGAGCCTGGGGCTTCCTCCCACCCTCCCTGGGCGCCTCTGGTCTCCTGAAGCTAGAGCACAAATGAAAATTATTCTTATGTCGTATTTCAAAAAAGTCTTTATTCTAAAACTTTCGAATTTGTCATAAAAAACCCTGCACAGAGCTGACATAATTAGCAAATATCAAAAGTTTAAATAAAATTATTTAAAATAAGCATTTTAATTAAGTTTAATTTAAATAAGCAAATAAAAGTTATTTATAAACTATTTATAAGCTGAGATTTTAAATAAATCCAATTTAGTACTTTGTAAAAATAAAATGAGCTGTGATTGTAGTATCCCTGTAGTTGCCCCTGTAAAGAATGAGTATTACATTTCACCCCTGTTACATTAGAGCTTCTACACATGTATATTTAAAAGTATAATACATTGGTAATACTGCCAAATACTTCTTGACCCAATGTGCAGCTGTAACAAATGTTGTGTTAATTTGTTACTCTCTCTGGAATCCTGCACATTGGAACACAAAAGAGAAGCCTTTCACT